GAACTGATCTGAAAGGCCGGGTGCAACCAGACAGGAAAGACCACGATCCTATCCTAATGGCAGTTATGACCCTGACATGTTGACAGACGTCCCTGTTCTACGTAATAAATAAATCCATGCCCGAGCCTCATGTTTTGCCAGTTAAAAGTGTCAAAAATCCTTTTTTTTGTTCATGACTGCCCCCGATTTCTTTCAATATACAAGGGATCTAGCTTGATACTTCAGAGGCCGGTTGCGGTCTTTACATAGCCCAAGCGTTCCTCGTCCTGCTCCACCACCATGGTTGGAGCCGGAGGCCCAAGCATCTGTTGAAAGGGTAATTAACATGCTTGAAGAAGCATTCAAATCTTCATGTATGTCTCACTTCTAGCCGGCCGATCTTCACTAAGTTTTGGACAGATACGACTACTTGGGACGTCCGGGACTATGCTGCGGACTTGTCACCGAGACAGAGTGGAAGCAATGAGGAGTTGGAGAAGAAACTCTTGGCACGATTCCCACCGATCTACGAAACAGCCGGGTCCGATATCCCCTACCTCGATCAACCGTGCCATATAACCGACCGGCAGGGTCACATTTTACTTTGGTACTTTCCTGAAATGTTCTCAGAACAGCTTCGGGTAATTACTTTCACTTCATTACACCCTTAGACTTTCCTCACTTTAATAGACATTTATTTGGGATCACACAGGTTCTTTGAGCCCCAAAAAGAGAAGTAATGGGACTTGGCGGGATCACCACCCCGAGAATGAAGGGGTCACTGGGATTGTAAATTTATCACCCAGCTGGTTTTCTCAAGGACATGAAGGTCCCGAGGATCCACTGCGTGCGTCAGCCGATATTCAGGAACCTGCCAATTCAACCTACCTCCAGAATGTCCTATTGGCCAATGCAATTGTTGGCACAATCTATGCCGTCATACAACCCGATCTTTTTGAGTCCGGTTTAGCCACCTTTGAGAAGCTTGCCAATCATGCCGAGGCATTGGACGATCCTATCAATATTGCTCTTCGCGTTTGGGCCACTCCCTTCACCGGTCTTTCAGTCATCCTGAACC